AGACTGCCAAACAACAGGGTGTGGCTCTTCTTTTGAACAAAAGAATGAAGGGGGCGTGGGAGCGTGGCGGTGAGGTGTGGGAAGCTGTAAGCCCCAGGCTACTTTGGGCTCGCCTTCCCATCAATCAGAGGCGAGGAGTGGTGGTCGTGGTTACTTATGCCCCCACCGTAGACGAACATCCGTGGAGGGATGCAGGCAAAGCCGATGAGTCAGATGCCTTCTATGACCTCCTGTCACAGGTGCTGGCTAAAGTGGCCCCTCAGGATAGAGTCATCTTGTTGGGTGACTTCAATGCCCAAGTTGGTCATGATGCTGGCACCTGGTCTGGAGTGATTGGAGGGCATGGGCCAGATCAGCTCAATAACAACGGTAGGAGGCTGCTAGATTTGTGTGCAGCCCATGGGCTTGAAATTACCAACATGCTGTTCCGGCATCGGCGCATCCACACAACATCATGGAAGCATGCCGGGTCCAAGCAAGAACATCTGCTGGACTACATAGTGATGGACCAGCGGATGCGAGCCCATGTCCTTGACACCAAGACCTACCGTGGAGCTGATCTGCCCTCTGACCATCGACTAGTCATCTGTAAGATGCGCCTGCCATTCTTCCACTCTGGTGGTGGGTGTACACCCAGGACCCCATTCCAACCTAAAGTGGCCTGGTCTCAGTTATCTGATGAAAGTTGCAAGTGAGAATTTCATCATCGCTTGCGGCTGGGGTTGGCATCGTCCCCCACTCCTGATGTCGAGGGTAAATAGGCGAGGTTTAGGACTATGACTCATGCAGCTGCAATGGCTGCTTTGGGTATGCGGTCCAGACCTTCCCAGAGACCCTGGCTGACAGAGGAGGTGTTCAGGATAGTTGAGAAAAAGCAACAGGCCCACTGTCATCGGCTACAGAATCCCACGTCAGAGAATGAGGAGGTTTACCGCAGCCTTCGCTCGGAGGTTCGGAAAGCCGTGAGGCGCTGTGAGGATGGGTGGTGGTCGCGGGTTGCTGAGGAGATGCAGTCTGCCTCAGTGGCCCGCGATCACAAATCTCTATTTAACTCCATCAAAAAAGTAACCTGCAGCGCCACACCTATTGCCATCATTAGGGGAAAAAACGGTGATCCAATCTCCGACCCCCAGGAACAGGTTTGCAGATGTGCTGAGCATTTCTGTGAGGTCCTGGGGGAGGGGAAATCCCTCAGCCAGGAAAACATCTTGGCACAAAATGCAGATGACCCTGCTGAGGCTGCGGTGCCTCAAATATTGGAAGAAGTCACCCCCGGTGAGTGGCACTTTGAAACCGGCGACCCGAGTTTGATTCCCGCTCACGGCTACCAACATCGACGACGATTATTTGAACCGGTCCCGAGCCTCTCTTAGGTCTACTCAGCCTCAAATGAGTACGTGTGTAAACATCGCTACTTGGGAGACAAAGGCGGTTGGGCGTGGTGCTGGCCACCCACCCCCTCGTGTGCCGTTCTGGCCTTCATAGATGCTCACTAACAGCACTTGCCCCTACAGTCTGTTAAGGCTACACGTGCGTCTGTGTGTACGACGTTGGTATGTACATGTTGTGGCTTTGCTCTCCAACACACCGGTGTGCTGTACTAAGATACTACACTGCACACTACACTACTATACACTACACTATTATACACTACACTATTATACACTACACTATACACTACTATACACTGCACACTACACTACTATACACTACACTACTATACACTACACTATTATACACTATACACTACTATACACTACACTATTATACACTACACTACTATACACTACACTATACACTACTATACACTACTATACACTACACTATACACTACTATACACTACACTATACACTACACTACTATACACTACACTATACACTACTATACACTACACTATTATACACTACACTATGCACTACACTACTATACACTACACTATACACTACACTATACACTACACTATACACTACACTATACAGTACACTACACTATACACTACTATACACTACACTATACACTACACTACTATACACTACACTACTATACACTACACTATACACTCCACTACTATACACTACACACTACACTACTATACACTACACACTACACTATACACTACACTATACACTACACTATACACTACACTACTATACACTGCACACTACACTACTATACACTACACACTACACTATACACTACACTATACACTACACTATACACTACTATACACTACACTACTATACACTAGACTATACACTACACTATACGCTACACTACTATACACTACACTACTATACACTATACACTACACTACTATACACTACACTATGGCTGCTTGTAACCGTAGTGTAGAGGTGTTAACTACGCGCTGTTGCGTAACCTGCATTGCCACCAGGGCAGTGCAGCATTACCCCTGGGTACAACGGTTGGGGTCAGTCGAGGTGAAACGGATCGTAGCCAGGGGTTGGTACGAACCAATCAGACGGTTCCACGTGGGAATGTATGATTGGTTCTGCCTGGCCACGAAGGGGTATAAGACGGTGACCCAACGGACCTCGGGGAGTTCTCTCCCTGCACGAAGATAGAAGACTGGGCTGGAGCCTAGCCAGGACCCTGGGCCAGCCTCCCAGCCCTTCTGAGGGCTAAGGCTCGGCATACCCAGCGGTCAGGACCCACCGGGCCAGCGGTGGGTCACATAGCCTCCCCTAGGTCCTAGCCGGAGGACTAGGATAGCGGTAGACGTGTGAGTCCCGCCAAGTCCGGAGGCTGTACCTCCCTCGGGTATCGGGTGAGGGGACCGTATATCCCTCTGTGTGTGTTAAGCATTGTGTAAGGAAATAATACAATAAACAGTGTGCCTCCTAAGAAGTCTGCTCGTCCTTACAACACTACAGTAGTAACGGCCTCGAGTCAACAGGCCAGAGGGGAGTTTCATGGCCACCCCAAGGCAGCTCGAGACCACAGGAACAGACCCCAGACCCCCAGGAAGGGGGCTGGGGGGTGACGTCACCCCCCAGGAAGGGGGCTGAGGGGTGACGTCACCCCCCAGGAAGGGGGCTCGGGGGTGACATCACCCCCCAGGAAGGGGCTGGGGGTGACGTCAGGAAGGGGGCTGGGGGGTGACATCACCCCCCAGGAAGGGGGCTGGGGGTGACGTCACCCCCCAGGAAGGGGGCTGGGGGGTGACGTCACCCCCCAGGAAGGGGGCTGGGGGGTGACGTCACCCCCCAGGAAAGGGCCTGGTGGTGACGTCACCCCCAGCCCCCTTCCTGGGGGGTGACGTCACCCCCCAGGCCCTTCCAGACGGTTCCACAAGGGAGGAGTGGCTCGGGGCAGAGTGAGGCAGACAGCGGTCTCAAAGGGGACCCGGCAGTCGTCAAGCAGAAGACCCGAGGACCAACCACAATAGAACCCTGGGAACCCGAGGGCCAGCCACATTAGAACCCTGGGAACCCGAGGCCAGCCAGAATAGAACCCTGGGAACCCGAGGGCCAGCCAGAATAGAACCCTGGGAACCCGAGGACCCGAAGTCCTTGTCAGGGCCGGGACCGAGTGAGCCAGTGGTCGGGGCCCGAGGAGCTTGGCTGGGTCGGGTCAGGCTCGCCCCCCCTAGGTCCCCCTAGGCCCCCCTAGGCCCCCCTAGGTTCCCCTAGGTACCCCTAGGTCCCCCTAGGTCCCCCTAGGTACCCTAGCCGGAGGGCTGAGATACAGAGAGGGAGTGGTCCCTGTGAGACGGGTCACCTTGCCCAGAGGGTATTGGGTGGAAGGGGCCGATACCCCTTTGTGCCAGGGACCTCGTGGTACTCCTGTTATAAATAAACCTTTTGCCTCCAGACAGGACTTGGTTTACATCTTACCCACTACACGAGGGACGAATTGGCCACGTTCTGTTCATGTAACAACCCTTACGAGTTGGCTGTGTCGGTTGGTGGCGGGTTTAACGACACAACATTTATATATTTACGTGTTCTAACCCAAAAAAAAAACACCTGTATTATGGATGATATTGGTCACGAAAGCCTACGTGTTATATAGTTTTATATATATAGTTATATATGACGATGTAACTATATTTAGTTCTCAATTATCCTTAGGTTCAATACTTTATTTATCAACTTCCAGAATTCATTATCAAGTTGCATCTGCTAAACCCAGACCTCATGGCAATTACGTATGGATAAGTGAGTGTTGATAACAACATCCCTGTCAACCCGTACGCTTTATAATCCAAGAGTCTCGTACAGGGAGATTGAGTTGCCAGGTCCAACACTGTTGTCTCTTAGTTTGTGTCTCTCCCTTCTGACTTTGTAGCGTGAACGTGGAGATGTGTAAGGGGCCGGTAGGGCACTGAGAAGACGTTGACAGGTAAGGTGAAACCTACAACAAGTCATATTAAAGTCGAGTAACAATACATCCCACCATGAGGCTATCCTACAGGAGTAGGAGCAGTCGCCGTGCCACGGTGATTCAGATGATTCGTATGCAGCGGTTTTCATTTTGAGCGTTTCAACTTTCCAGACAGCGCGGGTTGTTCATTCAGAGTCGTTGGGGACGGTAAGCGGCACTCCTTGTCTCTTGTCCGTACATTCGCCCTGCGGTGGACAGCGGGTTTGGTAGGGCTCCTCCCTGCGGTGAGCCTCACCCCTACGGTGAGCCTCACCCCTACGGTGAGCCTCACCCCTACGGTGAGCCTCACCCCTACGGTGAGCCTCATCCAGCCTCACCGGGTGAGCCTGGCCCCTGCAGTGAGGTGAGCCTCACCAGGTGAGCCTCACCCCTGCGGTGAGCCTCACCTAGTGAGCCTCATCCAGCCTCACCAGGTGAGCCTCACCAGGTAAGCCTGGCCCCTGCGGTGAGGTGAGCCTCACCAGGTGAGCCTGGCCCCTGCGGTGAGCCTCACCAGGTGAGCCTCACCAGGTGAGCCTCACAGGTGAGCCTGGCACCTGCGATGAGCCTCACCAGGTGAGCCTCACCAGGTGAGCCTGGCCCCTGTGGTGAGCCTCACCAGGTGAGCCTCACCAGGTGAGCCTGGCCCCTGCGGTGAGCCTCACCAGGTGAGCCTCACCAGGTGAGCCTGGCCCCTGCGGTGAGCCTCGCTAGAACGCCGTCTGCGCCGTGACCAGAGGGGGAGTTGGGGAGGGGCGCCTCTTGGATTGCGGCGCCTCCCAGTCGGAGCGGCGAACCGCACGGGGGGTCACGGACCACTTGAGGCGCTGGGGGCGGGGGGGGATGAGAGGCACGGAGTTAGTGGTGGTGGTGGTGGTTACAGTGTGAGTGTGGTACAGGTGTGTGTGTGTGAGTGTGGTACAGGTGTGTGTGTGAGTGGTACAGGTGTGTGTGTGTGTGAGTGGTACAGGTGTGTGTGTGTGTGAGTGGTACAGGTGTGTGTGTGAGTGTGATTGGTACAGGTGTATGTGTGTGGCACAGGTGTGTGTGTGTGTGTGAGTGTGGTACAGGTGTGTGTGTGTGTGTGAGTGGTACAGGTGTGTGTGTGTGTGTGAGTGGTACAGGTGTATGTGTGTGGCACAGGTGTGTATGTGTGTGTATGTGAGTGTGGTACAGGTGTGTGTGTGTGTGTGAGTGGTACAGGTGTGTGTGTGTGTGTGGTACAGGTGTGTGTGTGTGTGGTACAGGTGTGTGTGTGTGTGTGTGGTACAGGTGTATGTGTGGTACAGGTGTGTGTGTGTGGTACAGGTGTGTGTGTGAGTGTGGTACAAGTGTGTGTATGTGTGAGTGATACAGGTGTGTGAGTGGTACAGGTGTGTGTGTGTGTGAGTGGTACAGGTATGTGTATGTGTGTGGTACAGGTGTGTGTGTGTGTGTGTGGTACAGGTGTATGTGTGTGGTACAGGTGTGTGTGTGTGAGTGTGGTACAAGTGTGTGTATGTGTGAGTGATACAGGTGTGTGAGTGGTACAGGTGTGTGTGTGTGAGTGGTACAGGTGTGTGTGTGAGTGGTACAGGTATGTGTGTGTGAGTGGTACAGGTGTGTGTGAGTGAGTGGTACAGGTGTGTGTGTGAGTGGTACAGGTATGTGTGTGTGAGTGGTACAGGTGTGTGTGTGTGAGTGGTACAGGTGTGTGTGTGTGTGAGTGAGTGGTACAGGTGTGTGTGTGTGTGTGGTACAGGTGTGTGTGTGTGGTACAGGTGTGTGTGTGTGTGTGGTACAGGTGTGTGTGTGTGGTACAGGTGTGTGTGTGGTACAGGTGTGTGTGTGAGTGTGGTACAAGTGTGTGTATGTGTGAGTGATACAGGTGTGTCAGTGGTACAGGTGTGTGTGTGTGTGAGTGGTACAGGTATGTGTATGTGTGTGGTATAGGTGTGTGTGTGTGTGGTACAGGTGTGTGTGTGTGGTACAGGTGTGTGTGTGGTGCAGGTGTGTGTGTGAGTGTGGTACAAGTGTGTGTATGTGTGAGTGATACAGGTGTGTGAGTGGTACAGGTGTGTGTGTGTGTGTGAGTGGTACAGGTGTGTGTGTGTGTGAGTGGTACAGGTATGTGTATGTGTGTGGTACAGGTGTGTGTGTGGTACAGGTGTATGTGTGTGGTACAGGTGTGTGTATGAGTGTGGTATAAGTGTGTGTATGTGTGAGTGATACAGGTGTGTGAGTGGTACAGGTGTGTGTGTGTGAGTGGTACAGGTATGTGTGTGTGAGTGGTACAGGTGTGTGTGTGTGTGTGTGTGAGTGAGTGGTACAGGTGTGTGTGTGAGTGGTACAGGTGTGTATGTGAGTGGTACAGGTGTGTGTGTGTGAGTGGTACAGGTGTGTGTGTGTGTGTGAGTGGTACAGGTGTGTGTGTGTGAATGGTACAGGTGTGTGTGTGTGTGAGTGGTACAGGTGTGTGTGAGTGGTACAGGTGTGTGTGTGTGTGAGTGGTACAGGTATGTGTGTGTGAGTGGTACAAGTGTGTGTGTGTGTGTGAGTGAGTGGTACAGGTGTGTGTGTGTGAGTGGTACAGGTGTGTGTGTGTGAGTGGTACAGGTGTGTGTGAGTGGTACAGGTGTGTGTGTGTGAGTGAGTGGTACAGGGTGTGTGTGTGAGTGGTACAGGTGTGTGTGTGTGTGAGTGGTACAGGGGTGTGCAGACTCACCTGTATCAGGGTGCCCTGCGCGTGGTACAGGGTGTGAGCCATGCCCAGAGGGATCCAGCCGATGGAGAGGAGCGACACGACCCAGCCGAGGCCCTCGGCCCAGGCTGGGTAGACGTAGTCCCCGTAGCGCACCGGCTCGTACTGCAGCACGCTGAATACCAGGATGGCCTGCGCAGACGGACGCACGCCCAGAGCACTCTACGTGTGTCCTTGTGTGTCAGTCTGTGTGTCTGTGTGTGTCTGTGTGTGTGTGTCCTTGTGTGTGTCTGTGTGTGTCAGTCTGTGTGTGTCTGTGTGTGTGTGTCCTTGTGTGTGTCTGTGTGTGTCCTTGTGTGTCAGTCTGTGTGTGTCTGTGTGTGTGTCTGTGTGTGTCTGTGTGTGTCTGTGTGTGTCAGTCTGTGTGTGTCTGTGTGTCAGTATGTGTGTGTCCTTGTGTGTCAGTCTGTGTGTGTCTGTGTGTGTCCTTGTGTGTCCTTGTGTGTGTCTGTGTGTGTCCTTGTGTGTCAGTCTGTGTGTGTCTGTGTCTGTGTGTGTGTGTCCTTGTGTGTGTCTGTGTGTGTCCTTGTGTGTCAGTCTGTGTGTGTCTGTGTGTGTCTGTGTGTGTCCTTGTGTGTGTCTGTGTGTGTCTGTGTGTGTCTGTGTGTGTCCTTGTGTGTCAGTCTGTGTCTCCCTGTGTGTGTCTGTGTGTGTCCTTGTGTGTGTCTGTGTGTGTCTGTGTGTGTCTGTGTGTGTCCTTGTGTGTCAGTCTGTGTGTCTACCTGTGTGTCAGTATGTGTGTGTCCTTGTGTGTGTCTGTGAGTGTGTCTGTGTGTGTCTGTCTGTGTGTCCTTGTGTGTCAGTCTGTGTGTCTACCTGTGTGTCAGTATGTGTGTGTCCTTGTGTGTGTCTGTGTGTGTCCTTGTGTGTCAGTCTGTGTGTCTACCTGTGTGTCAGTATGTGTGTGTCAGTCTGTGTGTGTCTGTGTGTGTCTGTGTGTGTCTGTGTGTGTCCTTGTGTGTGTCTGTGTGTGTCTGTGTGTGTCCTTGTGTGTCCTTGTGTGTCAGTCTGTGTCTACCTGTGTGTGTCTGTGTGTGTCCTTGTGTGTGTCTGTGTGTGTCTGTGTGTGTCTGTGTGTGTCCTTGTGTGTCAGTCTGTGTGTGTCTACCTGTGTGTGTCTGTGTGTGTCCTTGTGTCAGTCTGTGTGTGTCCTTGTGTGTGTCCTTGTGTGTGTCTGTGTGTGTCCTTGTGTGTCCTTGTGTGTCCTTGTGTGTCAGTCTGTGTCTACCTGTGTGTGTCCTTGTGTGTGTCTGTGTGTGTCTGTGTGTGTCCTTGTGTGTCCTTGTGTGTCAGTCTGTGTCTACCTGTGTGTGTCTGTGTGTGTCCTTGTGTGTGTCTGTGTGTGTCTGTGTGTGTCTGTGTGTGTGTCTGTGTGTGTCTGTGTGTCAGTCTGTGTCTACCTGTGTGTGTCTGTGTGTGTCATTGTGTGTCAGTGTGTGTCTACCTGTGTGTGTCTACACGAGTCTGTGTGTGTCTGCGTGTGTCCTTGTGTGTGTCTGTGTCTACCTGTGTGTGTCTGTGTGTGTCCTTGTGTGTCAGTCTGTGTCTCCCTGTGTGTCTACACGAGTCTGTGTGTGTCTGTGTGTGTCCTTGTATGTGTCTGTGTCTACCTGTGTGTGTCTGTGTGTGTCCTTGTGTGTGTCTGTGTCTACCTGTGTGTGTCTGTGTGTGTCCTTGTGTGTCAGTCTGTGTCTCCCTGTGTGTCTACACGAGTCTGTGTGTGTCTGTCTGTGTCCTTGTGTGTGTCTGTGTCTAGTCCGGCAAAACAACCCCCTACCTCCTCGCGGTGCCGGACGGGCAACTCTGTCGTGGACAGTGCTGTGGGGGGAGATCCAATTTTGATTGGCTCCTCCCCTCATGGCATATGTGTCCACCACAGGGGCTAAACGGGGGCTCTGGACGGGTGCGAGGGGCTGGTAACCCCTCCACCTTCAATTAATTACCACGAAACCACGAATTAAACTGAAATATGTAACAACTAAGCTTGTGCCGGAAGCCCCGGGGGGCCAGGCGTCTATGACGTCTCCTGGCCAAACCCCAATTGGCGGAGCCAGGAGATTGAATACCTACCCTCGGGGCTACTCCAGAAACAACGAAAAGCCACTACGGGTGGCCACGTGGAATGTTCGAACGCTCACTGCAGAAGAGAGGCTGCCACTCCTCTGTCGGGAGCTGGACCGGTACCGCCTGGATCTATGCGGCATTCAGGAGGTCCGGTGGACCGGCTCTGGCTCCTGCCACCATGAGGGGTGGACAGTCCTCTACTCGGGGCAGCAGACTGCCAAACAACAGGGTGTGGCTCTTCTTTTGAACAAAAGAATGAAGGGGGCGTGGGAGCGTGGCGGTGAGGTGTGGGAAGCTGTAAGCCCCAGGCTACTTTGGGCTCGCCTTCCCATCAACCGGAGGCGAGGAATGGTGGTCGTGGTTACTTATGCCCCCACCGAAGATGAACATCCGTGGAGGGATACAGGCAAAGCCGATGAGTCAGATGCCTTCTATGACCTCCTGTCACAGGTGCTGGCTAAAGTGGCCCCTCGGGATAGAGTCATCATGTTGGGTGACTTCAATGCCCGAGTTGGTCATGATACTGGCACCTGGTATGGAGTGATTGGACGGCATGGGCCAGATCAGCTCAATAACAACGGTAGGAGGCTGCTAGATTTTTGTGCAGCCCATGGGCTTGTAATTACCAACACACTGTTCCGGCATCGGCGCATCCACACAACATCATGGATGCATGCCGGGTCCAAGCAAGAACATCTGCTGGACTACATAGTGACGGACCAGCGAATGCGAGCCCATGTCCTTGACACCAGGACCTACCGTGGAGCTGATCTGCCCTCTGACCATCGACTAGTCATCTGTAAGATGCGCCTGCCATTCTTCCACTCCGGTGGTGGGTGTACACCCAGGACCCCATTCCAACATAAAGTGGCCTGGTCTCAGTTATCTGATGAAAGTTGCAAGCGAGAATTTCATCATCGCTTGCGGCTGGGATTGGCATCGTCCCCGACTCCTCCTGATGTCGAGGGTAAATTGGCGAGGTTTAGGACTGTGACTCATGCAGCTGCAATGGCTGCTTTGGGTATGCGGTCCAGACCTCCCCAGAGACCCTGGCTGACAGAGGAGGTGTTCAGGATGGTTGAGAAAAAGCGACAGGCCCACTGTCATCGGCTACAGAATCCCACGTCAGAGAATGAGGAGGCTTACCGCAGCCTTCGCTCGGAGGTTCGGAGAGCCGTGAGGCGCTGCAAGGATGGGTGGTGGTCACGGGTTGCTGAGGAGATGGAGTCTGCCTCAGTGGCCCGTGATCACAAATCTCTATTTAACTCCATCAAAAAAGTAACCTGCAGCGCCACACCTATTACCATCATTAGGGGAAAAAACGGAGATCCAATCTCTGACCCCCAGGAACAGGTTCGCAGATTTGCTGAGCATTTCTGTGAGGTCCTGGGGGAGGGAAAATCCCTCACCCAGGAAAACATCGTGGCACAAAGTGAGGATGACCCTGCTGAGGCTGCGGTGCCTCAAATATTGGAAGAAGTCACCCCCTGTGAGTGGCTGGCTGAGGTGCCATCTGCTGAGGAAGTATTGAAGGCGATCCGGAGTCTCAGACCAGGAAAGGCAGCGGGCAGAGATGATCTCCCAAGCGAAATGCTGAGGGAGGGTGGCGTTTGTGCACAGACTGCCCTATATGACATCATAACAACAGTCTGGACCACTGGACGGGTTCCGCAGGATTGGAAGGATGCCCTGGTGGTCCCCCTTTTTAAGAAGGGGGACCGCACAGACTGTAACAACTACAGGGCATCTCACTCCTCAGTGTGCCGGGAAAGGTCCTGGCAAGGATTATTCAGCATCGCCTTGCCAGGCACGCTGAGGAGAGGCTTGCGGAGCCCCAATGCGGTTTCAGGAAAGGGCGGTCCTGCACAGATGCCATATTTTCTGTCCGTCTGCTACAGCAGAGGTGTAGGAAATTCCAGCAAGACCGACATCTCTGCTTTATTGACCTGGTCAAGGCCTATGATACCATCAGTAGGCCTGGGCTCTGGGTCGTTCTGCGTGCTTTTGGAGTACCTGACCCTCTGCTCACGATCATTAAGGACCTTTATGATGGTGAGCGGGCCCGGGTAAAACTACGTGGCCGGGAGTCAGAGCCATTCCCTGTACACCTTGGGGTGCGACAGGGATGTCCTCTGGCTCCCACATTATTTAACATCTATTTTGACCACATAGTTCGTGAAGCCTTCAATAGCTGTACCGGGGGAATCTCCATATGGTACAGATATAATGGGAGGCTAATCGATGCCCGGGTGCGGTCAAGGGATGGCTCCCTATTGCTCAACCACGTTATGTATGCTGATGATTTGGTAATAGCTGCTCAGTCAGAGGAGGAGTTGGAGACGCTGCTGCTGAGACTGGAGCGTGCCACTAAGAGGTGGGGCCTTACCATCAGCCCCACCAAAACTAAGCACCTGCCTGGGTATTTTGTACCATCGGACACTCCACCCCCACAACTCCCAATCGGTGATGGGGCAGTTGTGGAGAGAGTGGAGAGTTTCCCATACCTGGGCAGTGTGCTTATGACTGGCTCCAGTTTAACAGCAGAGGTCTCACTCCGAATCAGTCGAGCGGCAATATCTTTTCATCGGTTGCGTAACGCTGTGTGGAAGCTACCTGGTCTGTCGCTCCGCACTAAGCTTCAGGTCTTCTCGGCCACGGTCATTCCCTCCCTTCTCTACGCTTGCGAAACGTGGACCCCCCTAATGGAACATCTTCGCCGGTTAGAAACATTTAGGCTGGCCTGCCTACGATCCATCCTGGGTTTAACCAGACTGGATTGTGTGAGGAGCTCACAAATCCTTGAAAGATCTGGGCAGGGTCCCATCGGTGAGCTCCTCCGGCGAGGAAGGCTGCGATGGCTGGGTCATGTAGCCCGCATGCCCAGCCACCGCATGCCAAAACAGCTTTTGTTTGGCCGGATTGAGGGGGCTAAGCGGGCGCGGCACGGGCTAGAGAAGAGATGGAGTGATGTGGTACAGGAGGACGTGGAGCTGAGTGGACTTGCCGATGACTGGTACCAGCGGTGTCAAGATCGGCCTCTGTGGAGGAGGCTCGTGAAGGATGCTACTGGGCAGTTGGAGGTAGTCGCCCTCAAACAACAACGGAGGGCAGAGGAGCGACGCTCACAACAACGAGCGGAGCGCCGGGTGGCTAAAGCACAGCAGGTTGGCACAGTAGGGGGCACAGGTGGTGCATCAACCAGTCATCTCAGTCAGTCGACCCGTGGCACCTGGGTCTGCCCCGTGACCTCCTGCCAGCGGGCGTTCGACACTTCACGTGGCCTCAGGGTGCACATAGCCTGGCACAAGCGTCGTGGTGACGTCACCGCCAGTCAGTGGCGAATGGCGGTTGTTGTTGTTGTCTGTGTCTACCTGTGTGTGTCTGTGTGTGTCAGTCTGTGTCTACCTGTGTGTGTCTACACGAGTCTGGGGATTGCGCATAATAGGGATAGCGGAACATGGGAATTATTGATAAGGGGAGTCTATGTGTGTCTGTGTGCGTCTACACGAGTCTGGGGATAGCGGATAGCAGGGATAGCGGATAATGGGGGTCTCACGGTAACGAGGCAGGGAGAGGCGACCATCCAGCAGAGCCTGAAGAAGATGTTCGGCTTCCTGCCCAGCATTTCCTCAATGTTGCTGCTGAGCCTGGAACTCCCTGCACACAGAGAAGCGAGTAGCATCACCACCTATGATGCACACACAGACAAAGCTGCCGCAGGTAGCCTCTAGAAGGCTGTAGGGGCAAGTGCTGCTTATAGCGAGTAGCTCCACCTATGATGTACACACAGACAAAGCTCCCCCAGGTAGCCTCTAGCAGGGCTGTAGGGGCAAGTGCTGCTAGTAGCAAGTAGCACCACCTATGATACACACAGACAAAGCTCCCCCAGGTAGCCTCTAGCAGGGCTGTAGGGGCAAGTGCTGCTAGTAGCGAGTAGCACCACCTATGAAGGCTACCGGCACGCCACACGAGGGGGTGGGTGGCCAGCACCACGCCCGGCCGCCTTTCTATCCCCAGTGGCGATGTTTTACTAGACACAGCACAAGGTATTGGTGCTGGCTGTGAGCAGCCAGCACCAATACACACACTCACCACACACTCACCACACACTCACCACACACTCACCACAACAACAACCGCCATTCACCACTAAGTGGCGGTGACGTCACCACGACGCCTGTGCCAGGCTATGTGCACCCTGAGGCCACGTGAAGTGTCGAACGCCCGCTGGCAGGAGGTCATGGGGCAGACCCAGGTGCCACGGGTCGCTGACTGAGATGACTGAGATGACTGGCTGGTGCACCACCTGTGCCCCCTACTGTGCCAACCTGCTGTGCTTTAGCCACCCGGCGCTCCGCTCGTTGTTGTGAGCGTCGCTCCTCCGCCCTCCGTTGTTGTTGGAGGGCGACTGCCTCCAACTGCCCAGTAGCGTCCTTCACGAGCCTCCTCCACAGAGGCCGATCTTGACACCGCTGGTACCAGTCATCGGCAAGTCCACTCAGCTCCACGTCCTCCTGTACCACATCACTCCATCTCTTCTCTAGCCCGTGCCGCGCCCGTTTGGCCCCCTCGATCCGGCCGAACAAAAGCTGTTTCGTTAGGCGGTGGCTGGGCATGCGGGCTACATGACCCAGCCATCGCAGCCTTGCCTGCTGGAGGAGCTCACCGATGGGACCTTGCCCAGATCTTACCCACACACCTTACCCACACACTCACCACACACTCACCCACACACTCACCACACACTCACCACACATACTCACCCGCACACTCACCCACACACTCACCACACTCACCACACACACTCACCTGCACACTCACCCACACACTCACCCACACACTCACCACACACTCACCCACACACTCACCACACACTCACCCACACACTCACCCACACACTCACCACACACATTCACCACACACTCAGCACACACTCACCACACTCACCCGTACACACTCACCACACACACTCACCACACACTCACCACACTCACCCGTACACACTCACCTAACACTCACCACACACTCACCGTAAACACTCACCACACACTCACCACACACTCACCACACACTCACCCGTACACACTCACCCGTACACACACACCACACACTCACCACACACACTCACCACACACTCACCACACACCGACACACTCACAACACACTCACCACACACTCACCACACACTCACCACACACTCACCACACACTCACCACACTCACCACACTCACCCGTACACACTCACCACACACTCACCACAGACTCACCACACTCACCACACACTCACCATACACTCACCACACACTCACCCACACACACTCACCACACACTCACCACACTCACCCGTACACACTCACCACACACTCACCACACACTCACCACACACTCACCGTACACTCACCCGTACACACTCACCACACACTCACCACACACTCACCACACACTCACCCACACACCCCACACACTTACCCGTACACACTCACCACACACTCACCACACACTCACCGTACACTCACCACACACTCACCACACACTCACCACACACTCACCACACACTCACCACACTCACCCGTACACACTCACCACACTCACCACACACTCACCACACTCACCACACACTCACCACACACTCACCACACACTCACCACACTCACCCACACACTCACCACACACTCACCCACACACTCACCCACACACTCACCACACACATTCACCACACACTCACCACACACTCACCACACTCACCCGTACACACTCACCACACACACTCACCACACACTCACCACACTCACCCGTACACACTCACCTAACACTCACCACACACTCACCGTAAACACTCACCACACACTCACCACACACTCACCCCACACTCACCCGTACACACTCACCCGTACACACTCACCACACACTCACCACACACACTCACCACACACTCACCACACACCGACACACTCACAACACACTCACCACACACTCACCACACACTCACCACACACTCACCACACACTCACCACACTCACCACACTCACCCGTACACACTCACCACACACTCACCACAGACTCACCACACTCACCACACACTCACCATACACTCACCACACACTCACCCACACACACTCACCACACACTCACCACACACTCACCACACACTCACCACACTCACCCGTACACACTCACCACACACTCACCACACACTCACCACACACTCACCGTACACTCACCCGTACACACTCACCACACACTCACCACACACTCACCCACACACCCCACACACTCACCCGTACACACTCACCACACACTCACCACACACTCACTGTACACTCACCACACACTCACCACACACTCACCACACACTCACCACACACTCACCACACTCACCCGTACACACTCACCACACTCACCACACACTCACCACACTCACCACACACTCACCACACACTCACCACACACTCACCACACTCACCCGTACACACTCACCACACACTCACCACACACTCACCGTACACCAAGCAGACTGCCACCACCTCAAAGCAGGCGAGGAAGGTGAGGGAGATGATGGCTGTGTAGTGGTCCATCAGCTGGAAGAAGTAGATGCCTCCCTACACACATCATCACCATCATCATCACCATCACCATCGTTACCATCACCATCGTCGTCATCATCATCACCACCACCACCATCATCATCACCACCGTCATCATCACCTTCATCATCACCATCGTCATCATCGTCATCATCATCATCATCACCATCACCATCGTCATCATCACCATCATCATCACCATCATCATCACCACCATCATCACCACCATCATCATCACCACCATCATCATCACCTTCATCATCACCACCATCATCATCATCACCACCATCATCATCGTCATCATCACCATCATCATCGCCATCATCATCACCAACACCATCATCACTACCACCATCGTCATCATCACCATCATCATCACCACCACCACCACCACCATCATCATCACCATCACCACCATCATTATCATCATCACCATCGTCATCATCATCGTCATCATTATTATCATCACCATCACCATCGTCATCATCACCATCATCATCGTCATCATCACCATCATCATCACTATCACCATTGTCATCAGCACCATCATCATCGCCATCATCACCATCACCATCGTCATCATCACCATCATCATCACCATCATCATCACCATCATCATCGTCATCATCACCATCATCACCATCGTCACCATCACCATCATCATCACCATCATCATCATCATCACCATCACCATCACCATCGTCACCATCACCATCGTCATCATCACCATCATCATCACCATCATCGTCATCATCATCATCGTCATCATCACCATCGTCATCATCGTCATCATCATCATCACCATCACCATCGTCATCATCACCATCATCATCATCACCATCATCATCACCATCATGATCGCCACCATCATCACCATCATCATCACCACCATCATCACCACCACCACCATCATCATCACCACCATCATCATCACCTTCATCATCACCACCATCATCACCATCATCATCATCACCACCATCATCATCGTCATCATCACCATCATCATCACCATCATCATCACCACCACCATCATCACTACCACCATCGTCATCATCACCATCATCATCACCACCACCACCATCATCATCACCATCACCACCATCATTATCATCATCACCATCGTCATCATCATCGTCATCATTATCATCATCACCATCACCATCGTCATCATCACCATCATCATCGTCATCATCACCATCATCATCACCATCGTCACCATCACCATCGTCATCATCACCATCATCATCACCATCATCATCGTCATCATCACCATCATCATCGTCATCATCATCATCACCATCGTCACCATCATCATCATCATCACCATCATCATCGTCATCATCACCATCATCATCACCATCACCATCGTCACCATCACCATCGTCATCATCACCATCATCATCACCATCATCGTCATCATCATCGTCATCATCATCACCATCGTCACCATCACCATCGTCATTATCACCATCATCATCACCATCATCGTCATCATCATCGTCATCATCATCACCATCGTCACCATCACCATCGTCATCATCATTATCACCACCACCAGTGTGACGGTGCCCACCTGTGTGGAGGTGCCCACCTGTGTGGAGGTGCCCACCTGTGTCACAGTGCCCACCTGTGTGGAGGTGCCCACCTGTGTCACAGTGCCCACCTGCGTCACAGTGCCCACCTGTGTCACAGTGCCCACCTGTGTGGAGGTGCCCACCTGTGTCACAGTGCCCACCTGTGTGACAGTGCCCACCTGTGTGGAGGTGCCCACCTGTGTCACAGTGCCCACCTGTGTCACAGTGCCCACCTGCGTGATGTTGGGCAGGCCCAGCAGCAGGGCGAGGCCGCACACCGCCGCCACCACCACCTCCCTCCTGCGCAGCAGCCGAAGCAGCGTCGCTCCATAGCTGTCCATCAGCGTGGTCACCATCACCTCCACCATGGCGAACTGCAGCAACATCATCATCACCATCATCATCACCACCTCCACCATGGCGAACTGCAGCAACATCATCATCACCATCATCATCACCATCATCACCACCATCACCATCATCACCACCATCACCACCATCACCACCACCTCCACCATGGCGAACTGCAGCACCGTCATCATCACCATCATCATCACCATCATCACCACCATCACCATCATCACCACCATCACCACCATCACCACCACCTCCACCATGGCGAACTGCAGCACCGTCATCATCACCATCATCATCACCATCATCACCACCATCACCATCATCACCACCATCACCACCACCTCCACCATGGCGAACTGCAGCACCATCATCATCACCATCATCACCATCATCACCACCATCACCATCATCACCACCATCACCACCATCACCATCATCACCACCGTCACCATCACCTCCACCATGGCGAACTGCAGCACCGTCATCACCACCACCATCATCACCACCATCACCACCACCATCTCATCACCGTCACCACCACCCTCATCACCACCATCACCACCACCATCACCACCGTCACCACCATCATCACCACCACCACCGTAATCACCACCATCACCACCGTCATCACCACCGTCACTACCACCATCACCAGCGTCACCACCACCGTCACCACCGTCACCACCACCATCACTACCACCATCACCACCATCACCACCATGGTCGCCACCCTCGCCGTGGGTGCACATCCCCTGGCACCTGGCTGTCCAGGCCCAGGCAGAGCAGCATGAAGAAGAAGAGCACAGCCCAGAGGGGGGGCACGGGCAGGGTGGAGAACACCTCAGGGTAGACCACGAACACCAGGCCAGGTCCTGGTGGGGGAGACACGGGGAGACACGGGGAGACACGGGGAGACGTGGGGGAGACACGGGGGAGACACGGGGAGACGTGGGGAGACACGGGGAGACACGGGGAGACACGGGGGAGACACGGGGAGACACGGGGGAGACACGGGGGAGACACGGGGAGACACGGGGGAGACACGGGGAGACGTGGGGGAGACGTGGGGGAGACACGGGGAGACGTGGGGGAGACACGGGGGAGACACGGGGAGACACGGGGGAGACACGGGGAGACACGGGGAGATGTGGGGGAGACACGGGGAGACACGGGGAGACACGGGGGAGACGTGGGGGAGACACGGGGAGACACGGGGGAGACACGGGGAGACACGGGGAGACACGGGGAGACGTGGGGGAGACACGGGGAGACACGGGGAGACGTGGGGAGACACGAGGGAGACACGGGGAGACACGGGGAGACACGGGGGAGACGTGGGGGAGACACGGGGAGACACGGGGGAGACACGGGGGAGACACGGGGAGACACGGGGGAGACACGGGGGAGACACGGGGAGACACGGGGGAGACACGGGGAGACACGGGGGAGACACGGGGGAGACACGGGGGAGACGTGGGGGAGACACGGGGAGACACGGGGAGACGTGGGGGAGACACGGGGGAGACGTGGGGGAGACACGGGGAGACGTGGGGGAGACGTGGGGGAGACGTGGGGGAGACGTGGGGGAGACACGAGGGAGACACGGGGAGACACGGGAGAGACACGGGGAGACACGGGGAGACGTGGGGGAGACACGGGGAGACACGGGGAGACGTGGGGGAGACACCGGGAGACACGGGGAGACACGGGGAGACACGGGGAGACGTGGGGGAGACGTGGTGAGACACGGGGAGACACGGGGAGACACGGGGAGACACGAGGGAGACACGGGGAGACGCGGGGAGACACGGGGAGACGTGGGGAGACACGGGGAGACACGGGGAGACACGGAGGAGACTCAGGGAGAGTAAAATGAGTGGGTAGGTGAGTGAGCGGGTAGGTGAGTGAGTGGCTAAATGAGTGAGTGGGTAGGTGAGTGAGTGGCTAAGTGAGTGAGTGGGTAGGTGAGTGAGCGGGTAGGTAAGTGAGTGGCTAAGTGAGTGGGTGGGTAGGTGAGTGAGCGGGTAGGTGAGTGAGTGGCTAAATGAGTGAGTGGGTAGGTGAGTGAGTGGCTAAGTGAGTGGGTGGGGAGGTGAGTGGGCGGGTAGGTGAGTGAGTGGATAAGTGAGTGGGTGGGTAGGCGAGTGGGCGGGTAGGTGAGTGAGTGGCTAAATGAGTGAGTGGGTAGGTGAGTGAGTAGCTAAGTGAGTGAGTGGGTAGGCGAGTGAGCAGGTAGGTGAGTGAGTGGCTAAGTGAGTGAGTGGGTAGGTGAGTGAGCGGGTAGGTGAGTGAGTGGCTAAGTGAGTGGGTGGGTAGGTAAGTGAGCGGGTAGGTGAGTGAGTGGCTAAGTGAGTGGGTGGGGAGGTGAGTGGGCGGGTAGGTGAGTGAGTGGCTAAGTGAGTGGGTGGGTAGGCGAGTGGGCGGGTAGGTGAGTGAGTGGCTAAGTGAGTGGGTGGGTAGGCGAGTGGGTGGGTAGGTGAGTGAGTGGCTAAGTGAGTGAGTGGGTAGGCGAGTGAGCAGGTAGGTGAGTGAGTGGCTAAGTGAGTGAGTGGGTAGGTGAGTGAGCGGGTAGATGAGTGAGTGGGTAGGTGAGTGAGTGGCTAAGTGAGTGGGTGGGTAGGCGAGTGGGTGGGTAGGTGAGTGAGTGGCTAAGTGAGTGAGTGGGTAGGTGAGTGAGCGGGTAGATGAGTGAGTGGGTAGGTGAGTGAGTGGCTAAGTGAGTGGGTGGGTAGGCGAGTGGGCGGGTAGGTGAGTGGGTAGTCTCACCGTCCGTAGCGATGTCCTGTACGGGCACGCCGTGCGTGTGAGACATGAAACCGATGGCCGAGAAGACGACGAATCCGGCGAAGATGCTGGTGGCCGAGTTGATGATTGAGACGAAGAGCGTGTCCCTGCGCACAGCACCACCCACACAGCCCTCGCTACGGCCCCGGCTCCCCATACCCTCAACCCTCACCTTGCCTGCAGGGCACGCGTGGGTCAAGTGAGCCGGTGAGGCTGTAGGCGAGTGGATGGATGGGCGGGTGAGTTGAGTGGGTCGGTGGGTGGGCGAGGGGGTGGGTGGGTGAGCGCGTGGGTGAGTTGGTGGGTTGATGAGTAAGCTGCATGGGTAAAATGAGTCAGTAAGGGCTGTGGAGTAAGTGCGTGGGTGAGTGGGTGGGTGAGCGGGTGGGCGAGTGGGTGGGTGAGTGGGTGAATGGGTGAGTGGGTGGGTGAGCGGGTGGGTGAGTGGGTGGGTGAGTAGGTAGGTGAGTGGATGGGTGGGTGAGTGGGTGGGTGAGTGGGTGGGTGAGAGTGTGAGTCCTCACTGGATGATGTTGTTGTCGAAGGCGTTGTAGCTGGACATGGATATGAGGGAGCCGAACCCAATCCCAATGGAGTTGAAGATCTGAGCGGCAGCATTGACCCACACCTGACGCACACACAGACACACAAACAGACACACACGCACAGACACACAGACACACACACACACAGACACACACACGCGCACACACAGACACACACACGCACACACACACAAGGGCGTCTGTCGGTGTGTGTGAGTGTGTGTGAGTGAGTGTCTGGGTTGTTCTTCGTGCTTTTGGAGTCCCTGACCCTCTGCTCACGATCATTAAGGACCTTCATGATGGTGAGCGGGCCCGGGTAAAACTACGTGGCCGGGAGTCAGAGCCATTCCCTGTACACCTTGGGGTGCGACAGGGATGTCCTCTGGCTCCCACATTATTTAACATCTATTTTGACCACGTAGTTCGTGAAGCCTTCAATAGCTGTACCGGGGGAATCTCCATATGGTACAGATATAATGGGAGGCTGATCGATGCCCGGGTGCTGTCAAGGGATGGCTCCCTATTGCTCAACCACGTTATGTATGCTGATGATTTGGTAATAGCTGCTCATTCAGAGGAGGAGTGGGAGACGCTGCTGCTGAGACTGGAGCGTGCCACTAAGAGGTGGGGCCTTACCATCAGCCCACCAAAACTAAGCACCTGCCTGGGTATTTTGTACCATCGGACACTCCACCCCCACAACTCCCAATCGGTGATGGGGCAGTTGTGGAGAGAGTGGAGAGTTTCCCATACCTGGGTACATCTTCGGCGGTTAGAAACATTTAGGCTGGCCTGCCTACGATCCATCCTGGGTTTAACCAGACTGGATTGTGTGAGGAGCTCACAAATCCTTGAAAGATCTGGGCAAGGTCCCATCGGTGAGCTCCTCCGGCGGGGAAGGCTGCAATGGCTGGGTCATGTAGCCCGCATGCCCAGCCACCGCCTGCCGAAACAGCTTTTGTTCGGCCGGATTGAGGGGGCTAAGCGGGCGCAGCACGGGCTAGAGAAGAGATGGAGTGATGTGGTACAGGAGGACGTGGAGCTGAGTGGACTTGCCGATGACTGGTACCAGCTAAGTCAAGATCGGCCGCTGTGGAGGAGGCTCGTGAAGGACACTACTGGGCAGTTGGAGGCAGTCGCCCTCCAACAACAACGGAGGGCGGAGGAGCGACGCTCAGAACAACGAGCGGAGCGCCGGGTGGCTAAAGCACAGGGTT